AATGAAAAACTTTATATATTATTATATGCTTTTTGCTTTCAGTTCATGGTTATTGATAGCATATTAATATTTCCACTATCTCTATGGAAGTATTACTTTACAAACAAACTTTCTTAAGTCGTCAAACTTAAGGGATTTCCTTGCTTTCTTAAATTTTATAACGTCTACTTCTTTATATTTTTTTAATTGCTTAATAAAATAATTTAATTCTTCGTAGGCTTAGTCTGACGTAGGAATTATTTATTAACGTCTATAACAATTGTTTTCGTTATTTGTATTAATTTTTGTTTATCATAAAAATGATTGATTTTTTCTTTGAAAATTCTTTTAGGCATTAAATTGATTATATTGCGATTTTAAGATGAATTTTGTTTACCCATATTTAAATATTTAAACAACTACATTGTAAATGAGTTATCTGATATAATTATTATCTTTTGTTTATTTATTTATGTATTTTTATCTTACTTTTATATATCTTTTACTTTGGAATAAGTTGTTAAATCGCTGTAAGCAATAAAAAGACTTCCAAATGTTTGTAATAATAGACTTAATTTTTTCATTCAGAGTAGTAAAAAAGTACTCACAACTTACAAAAATAAGATGTGAAGCAACAACAATGCTCTTAAAATTTTCAGAGTTTACTTGCAAAAATTCTAAGTCTAAAGTTTCAGTGCAGCCAAATTCGAAACCCAGTCTATTGTGAATATTCAGCATTCGTTAAAATCATATGAGCAAATACATAAGTAAATAAATTAATTTAAGCAAATAAAATAAAAATTTCTTCTTTGTTTCTTTCTCCGATTAAGTATATCATTCACAGATCGTCCACACTGGCAACAGTGTTTGCATAGACTCTCACCTTTACACTAACAAATGCAAATAAAAATCTTCCCAACGCCTGGTCAGTGTAGACGCAAGATCAGTGGAAGTAAAAAAGATTCAAATTGAAAAATAGTATACATATGAAAAATGACAAAATACAAATTACTGCATCAGTTCATTAGTTTCTTCCTCTTGCCAACATAGTTAACATAAAAAATGTTTTTATGGAGGTTTTGAATATATTTTTTTGGTTTTTTTAATTATTTACTTTAATTATTCTTTTCTACTTAATGTCTCAGTCTCTAACAATTTTTTGATGTTTTATTCATATTTTAATAGTTTTACTGTTTTTATGTTGTTAGCAGGCACTTTGGCGTAACTTTTTTTGATTTTTGTTTTTAGTTCTGTTAGTTAATACTTTTCTGATTATTTTAATGTTCTCAAAGGGCCATACATGTGCTGGTAATGATTTGACAGTTCTATCTCAATAATACATATACTAAATGAAAATGTATAATTTAATCCTTAAAAGTAAGAAGTCCTTACAAATAAGAAAGTAATATTATTCAAATTTAATAATAGCTGCAGTAATCCATTTAGCTGTCAATGAGTACCGTGTTAATTTCTATAACTTTTTCTAAGATATTATTAGAAAATCCTAATAACCACGAAATGTCAGACGTTACGGTTTATATTTGTACGTTATGCATAATTTATTCCAGTATATATAATTTTCAGGGTTCACTTAATATAGATCCCAGGGCACAGCAGATTTGAGGGAAACGAAAAAGATGAACTAGCCAGAAAAGGGGCGCCCTCATATTATATTGGGCCACAACCATTCTGTGGTCTTTTATGGAGCTTTTTTAAACTTAAAATTAATGAATGGTTGGAAAGAGCAGCTCAGACTGATGGGGATAACACAATTGCCTGCAGACAAGCTAAAAAATCCATGCCGTGTCAATCAAAGGCCAGAACTAGGGAGCTATTTACGCTGAGCAGAAGTGGCATTCGACTTGACACAGGGTTCCTTATTGGGCACTGCGGAGTTGAAAAGCATCTATCGAACCTTGGTGTTACTGGAGGCTATAGTTGCAGACTTTGTTGAGAAGAAAAGGAAACAGTAGAACATGTTCTCTATGATAGTCTTGCCAGACTCAGACTTCGGTACTTATCCACTGCCTATCCACTTATAATGGAATTAGGCAACATATCTCCACAGGACATAATGGCGTTCTTCACTGCTACTCGTCTATGGTACTGAAGTTGGTATGTCACAATAATCCTCAAAGGATGCAGTGACGTGGTGACAAGTTCCCAACCCATCTTAAAATTAAATCTAATTTAATATATATTTCTTGGCTGTATATAAAATAGAGAGTTTCAATCACCCCGTATTGTAGTTGTTCTAATATAAAGCTTACATATCAACGACAATTCAAAATCAATTATCAAATTTGAACAATAATGAAAACATAACTAAAATTAGTGTTAAAATTAGACTTACTGTGTTCAAACATATTCAACAAATATATGTTATGCTTAAATTCGTTTATTATTGGCAGTATTATTTTGTGTTTATTTATAAACTCGTATTTATAAAAGATACAAGATACGTTTGAGAAAGGTGCACTGTTAGAAGAGGACTGTTTTCTCACTCAATAATTTTTTATTTTATAGACATTATAGACTAGTTGGTATATATATCCTGTAACTATTTAAATTATATTGGAAATCAAACACTTATTAAAACCAATAAATTGTTCTGATTATATATAGTTGTCCATATCACGCTTACAGTATAAGATGTAACATTCGAACATTTACTCTGATTTTTGTTACATTGTTTTCATAAACATTCACAAAAAATAATTTTAAACACAGTGGAGTGAAAATTTAGACAGTTCGTCAATTTTATTGTTCAGTTCATTGTTTTATTTACTGAAAAATTTTAACGAAGAGGTTTCTTCTTTAGAGAATTGTGTTAAGGTAGAAACTAGATTTTGACTGCCACACTCAAAAAAATATGCTCTCACCTTGTTAAATTGATCTAATCATTTTGTTAGAGAAATTTAATATCATGTGATAAGGAAGATATGAAAACCAATATGTGGTATCGTTGAACCAAATTGATGCGTTAAGTAAAAATATTTTGACTTGAGATTTAGTTAAAATCTTGTTAAATCAACTAAATTCTTTTTCTGAGTGCAGTAAAAATTTTTTTGTATGTCTTCTTCTTGACACAAAACACAAAACTGAGTTCTTTTATTACTAATTTTTCTTGTTTTCGAAATTAATTACTTAATTGTTAATTACTCCAAATTATTCTATCTATCAATCTCTAAATTTAAAGTTTAAGAATAAGACACTGAAAAAAATTTTTATTTAATTATTGCTTACAATTTCACTTTAAGAAATATTAAATAATTTTACTTTTAATCAGATAAAACTAAATACTAAATTTTTCCGACAGGATTGGGTTAACCATTTACATATTAGTTATTTGAGGTATTGCATGCCTTATTAGTGGTTTCTAATTTTAATCTGTGGAAAAATAATTCAAACAAATAACATTTACATGTTACGTTATCAAGGACATCTTTTCCATACCCCATACCCCACAACTTATAAATCAAGCCCCAAATTTGCATACTTTGCGTGATGTACTATTTTAACAAGTATATAGAAGTTATAAAATTATTTGCATTATTTAATTAAATAAAATCCTACAAAATGCAAATCTTTTTTTTTTTGCAAACGTTCAGTGTTTAATTTTAATGCCAATGAAATGAAGGAATTTGAAGTGAATTCCTTGTTGAAAATTTTGAAATCTCATCAAATGCGCAGCTTTTCAAATTGTGGTTTGCTAATAATTTTCTACTTATAACAGAATTTCATGTCTGTGGTTGCAAAACTTTGAATAGAAAATGTAATTCTCGACCACAAATATTACAGTACAGGTACGAAATCAGCTTAGACCCTGTAATTAAACGGCTGAAATAACTGCAATACTTTATTCCACATAAATTTAAGAAGCTTTCATTTGTTGGTTTGCAAATGAAATGGTTTCTGTTGAAAATAATTATGATAAAGTAATGAAGTTTAGATAAATAGTTATGGTTAAAAATTGTTGCGTATTTATCGAAACTAATCTACATTGAAAGCTAATGGAAAGCTAATGGCTGAAGTTTACGTATAGTAGCAATAATGATGATTTTAAATTTATATATACGTGAAGAATGTAATAGGTATTCATTACAAATAAGCACAATAAAAAAATTAATAACGAAAAATAGTTTTCTTTTGTGTCTAAAAAAAATATAAATTAAAAGAAAAACTCTTTAAATGTAAATATGTTTAAATATATTTTATTTTAATTATATTTTCTCCAGTTTATTAAAAGAAAATGAGCTTCATACCTAATTAAAACACATATCGCACATTCTTTGTAAAGGCTATATGGCTAAATTTAAATACTTAATTAACGTAAATTTGTGTAATTTCTGCTTAATTACTTTCTTCACAGCGTGTCAGTAAAAAATTGAATTCATTTGTTTTCCCTCCAGCTACAACACTACAGTACAGTACGCACTAAATTCACGCTTGTTAATACAAGTTTATTTCGTTGCCTGAAACTATGCAATACTTTTTCTTTTTTGTGGCATCTATCTGAATGGAATAACTAAATTTGCTGAACTTCATTTGGGTAGAGATATATGCGAGACTATGTGGGGACTAATTCTATCTCTAATACTTTTTTTCACTCCTTTTATGTTGTTTAATGCCACCTTTAATTGCTCATGTATCCACTTTTTTTGATGTGCTTTCTAATATACCAACTACAAGTAAATTAAAATATTTTGCATCAGCAAACTAACCCGCATAGTTTAACTTCAGCACATTTACAATTCTAAAATATGTAATAAAATTACTTTTGTTAATTATACAGTTTGAAACATTCATACGCATACATAAATTCCTGCCACAATTTGTAGCATGTGCAACTTTTTAATTACAATTAGTGTTTATGTATATATTTAAGTGAGCGTATATGTGTATATGTGTGTGCGCTTGTCAAGAAGTGCGGATAGAGTTTTATAACTGTAGCTACCTTTGAAGTAAATTCGAATACATTCTGTTGCCTTTAATTTTTTTATTTTGTATTATTAACATGCTTATCCTTTAGTAGACTAAACAAAAAGCAAAAATATGAAAAAAAATTGTTATAATTTTAATGGAAAAACTTTAGGGCTGGTGGGCGACTAAAGTTGGAAAAGGGTTAACTTAGACGAATATACTGTACTCAGAGGCGAGGCGTCGAATGGTTCAGAGTGTTCACTGAACACCTTAACAAAGCTTTCTTTTTAGATTTTTTTTATTAGGTAAATAATCTCGCTATATTGCTACTTAACATTTTTTATAATAGCTTTTCCAAACAGATTAACATAAACACAAAATGTATAATACAAACAAAACCACACATACATATGTTAGTTACACCTAA